ATCACTAGTAGTCAAATAAAAAGATGACATCTGCCTTTTGATAAGGTCAGGTATTCTTCCAAAAGTTAATGTGTTCCATTCCACCAATACCAGTGGAATCTTAGTGAAGTGCAGAGCCTTACAAATGCAGTAGTCACTAGCCTCAGCTGTTTCTCTGGAAGGTTAGCCTCAGAGTAATGGGATGCTAAGCTGGGTAAGGGGTATGAAGGTGCTGTCTTTGCAGGGTAAAACACAAATGTGCGTAACAGAGAATATGCCTGACTGAAAAGAGCAACCATTTAGCGTGGTTTTTTTGCTCACCTTGCCAGTAGGCAGTACCTGCTAGGAGCTTTCAGAAATTAAAAAAAAAGTCACTTAAAGCACAGAAACGTGTTCTAGAAAGATCCAAACTACAATTGAAAACTGCTTAATAAATTTACGTCTAGTCACAGAAAAAGAAAACAAACCCACAAAACTGGAAAATTAAAAATTTGTCTCATAAACTTCTATCTATCTGTAGAATCAAGTATTCACTGTATTTTACACACACAAGAGTTTGGCATTATTTTGCTGTCTGTTGGAGATACTGAAATGATAAGTCTGACAATAGCTGAACTGCATTTTACCCACTTGTATGTAAGACTTGTTTTGTTGAGTAATAATCAACCCCCCTCCTTTACTCATTCATTGAAGAGAAACCTGCGTTAAGATTATGGTTTCTGAGCTGGGCGGTGGTGGCACTCTCCTTTAATCCCAGCACTCAGAAGGCAAAAGCAGGCACATCTCTGAGTTTGAGGCCAGCCTGGTCTACAAGAACTAGTTCCAGGTCAACTAGGGCTGTTACACAGAGAAACCCTGTGTTGGAAAAACAAAAAACAAAAAAATTATGACTTCTATATCAGTGAGGCTAAGGACACTTTCAACTTGGAAGAAATTTGACTTAAATAAAATGGAAAATAACAATAAGCAGTCTCTTATCATATTAATGTTTCATAAATGCTTAAAAAAGAAAACATGTTCATTTTTTGCTATTTGTAGATTTTAATTTCACTTTTCTACCCCTCTTTATTTTTTTCATATGCAAGGTTTTAATCCCTACTATAGTTTTATTCATATGAATACAATGATTTACAAGTGTTAAGCATATATTGTTACTCAAAACTGGAACATTTATTGGCAAACACGTGCTGTGTTTTATAATGCTGTGCTGGCCACCGGAGAGCAAAGCACAAACGGTTTCCTAACAGCAGAGTCTGGTAGGAGACAGACATGTAGACTGTATGGCCAGGGGGTTAGTAATGCAGGGTTTAAAATGTGTAATGTAAGTCCAGCGCTGCACTTGGAAGTGTCCAGGAGCATTTGCTGTGTAGGAAGGCCCGTGCAAGAGTAGGCAGGGGTAGGGGGTAGGATGGGGCTTTAAATTTTTGGCTAGAGAATTTAAAAGAACTTTTGATATTTTGAAAAAAAATCAGCTATAATATAGAGGCAAGTAATTTACATTTGTTATGCATGTAACCTCTGTAAAGTTCCCAGCAGCCACTAGAATTCCATGTTATGTTTTTCTAAAGAAAGATCTTGTTGCAAGTACCAACAGTCTTAGTTAACTCTCTTGTCCCTCTTATGTGCTGAGTACAGTCGGAGGAAGAGGAATTGGAGTTGGTGAGTGTGGTTTCCTGCTTGAAGGGAGTTGAAAAATATATGAAAAGTACTAATTATTTTTAATGTTTTAATCTAACCAGTGTTTTTGTTACACAGATTTTTTTTGTTTTCCGCTATTCAAATATTTTTAATTAAGAAAGTCATTCACTGATACTACTGACCCTAGTTTTTTTCTTTATTGTCGTATATATTAGTCCACTTTATTTGAGGGGGGGGAGAGGGGAGACATATTGAAATGACTTATAAAAACAATAGCTGCCCCTGAGTACAAGACACCTCAAACTTTTTCTTCTGAGGAAGTACACAAAATAACTTATGTTGCTCTCCAAATTATTAAAGTATTTTTAGAAAATGACTTCACCCTCAGAGTCCCTCAGATTGTAACACAGAATCTTGTGTTATGTTTCTTTCAAAAAGATTACATCATTTTTGGTGAGGTCACCTTTTTCAGAGTTGGAATTATTTCATCCTGAATGAGACAGTCTGAACCACAAGGGGGTTCCCTGTTTACGAAAAGAAATATCTGTAATTAACATACACAAATTTAGTTTTTATCAGAATATATTTGATTCTTAAAATCAGCTTTTACCAAAACAAGCATTTCTGTTGTCTTTTCTTCTGGAAAATAAACTTGACTAAAAGTAACTTAGCTCTTTGTTGGGAACTAAAACCCAAACGTAACAATTGTCATCATATGCATTCCAAGTGAGTTGCTAATTATATGACTCTCGTTTAAGGGGAATGAAAACTTGTAAATGCTCAGGTTTTAGCATGGACAGGTTAGTGCATGAGAGCATGGTGTATAAAGGCATCCATCGGTTTCATTTCCTTATTACTACGTGTTTATGCATGCTGGTGTGTTTTGCACAGTTGGTTTTCTTTTCAAATAAGGTTATCTGCTCTGTGTTTGCTTGTTTGGGATGTCATTTTGTATTGGTATCTGAAATACATTGATTAGCTAAATGTGATGGTAGATTATACAGTGAGTATCTTTGGGGGAAATGCTTTAATGGTTGCAATTATGGCTCAAACTGGAATAATTTATCTTATACTAAATCCCACTGGTTAACCTTAACTAGTTGTCCCAAATGCTTTCCTTAGTTATCTAACACTGTGTTGCCCTCTAGTGGTTCTGAAAGTCACTTATTGATGGGATACATTGCTGCAGAGATTTGGTGGGCAGAACCCATATAATGGAGTGTCACCCACGTCTTTGAAGTCGTACCAGGAGGTTGCCGTGAAGATGAAGCCTAGAATGGGGATAGCCCACACCAAACCATCTCAACACTATATTTTTTTCACCTAATTTGGTCTGAGACCCAATTAAATCCAGAGTAAATTCCTCCTCACCAGCTCATTGACATTGTTGACTAGATGCTGAGACGAAAATGTGTCTCCACCTGTCATGCCAGTGTATGTCAGGGTATGACTTTCTGTCTTCCTTGAAGTAACACATAACTGCAGAGTCTCAGAGATAGTTTCTGAATGTGTTGAAATGTGGAAATCATAAAAATAAGAAAGATCACCAGAAACTGTTGCCATTCACATTCCTAAGCTAGTTCAGACTAAAAATTAAATCAGTTGAAAATGCAAAAAAGAACCAGAAATTTAGTCCACTAGAACTTAGAAAGTTTCTCAAAATGGTCCATGCCCTAGAATAATAGTTTGCTGGCTCTGATCCAGAGTGAAAGGACAAAGAGCAGCCCAACTCCCAGACCTTTTTTTTTTTAACTTTTACTTTATCTCATTTTATCATAAATCATTTTATCTCATTACAGATTTAGTGGAATAGCTATGAATAAGAGGAATATAAATATATTTGTCTGTTAAAATCACCAATAATGTAAAACTTTTAACTACAGAGCGTGTCTGGGGACTGTAAGAATGCTGTCATGGGCTCTTTTCTAATACTCTTTGATTGTCAGCAGGAGCACTGGAAGCCAGGCAGGACAGACATGTCCCACTTCCCTCTGTAACCAATTAAAGAGTTAGGGAAGGGAAGTGATTTTTCTCCAGACATAAGAAAGGATGACTAAAACCCTGGTAGGATACCCACTCGTTATATAGTATTTCAGATGATTTATAGAAAATACAAACCACCATGAACGAAGCTGGAGTCTAGAATTCTCTTCAAAATACCACATTCACATTTAGCCGATTGTCTTCATTCATCTCATGGCATTCTGAAGTCAGTGATAGAGAACCTCTGGTCTCATTCGGACTCTTCAGAACCTGTGGGCACCACACAATACTTTTACTGTTGTGAGAATACAATCATCAGGCTGTGACTTCATTCATAAAAACAAATTATAGTCGTCCTTTAGCTTTCTTGTATACAAACTGGAGTGATTTCTGTTCTCTGATCCCTGAGTTTTGTCCATATTAGGTCAGTGTGAAAAAAACTGATGCTATCATACTCTTAATGATGGAAGACAGGGACTATCCTAAACAGCTTCATCATTTAAGAGGTGACTCTTTTTTGGCCAGGCTTTTAATATGCAGGCCTTTAATCTCCCAAGTCAGGAGGCAGGGGTAGATGAATCTGTGAGTTCAAGGCAAGTCTGGTATAGGTAGCAAGTTTCAGGCTAGCCAGGGCTACATAGACCCTGTCTCTCCCCACGCCACCCCCCAAAAAAAGAACTGTTGATTTTATTTATTCCCACCCTGGCTAAAATAATACTATGTAGATACAGCCAGTCAGTAAGTATTTAATAGCACTCCATTCAAAGCCCTTTGAAAAGTATATTATTTAAAAACTTACAGCCTTTTCTTTCAAAACGCTGGGAGGACAGAACCTCCCAGACCTGAATGTGCTGTTAAAACCTAGGTCCCCTGCAGGGTAAGCAGGGGAACCCAGGACAGGGCTGCAGGATAAGCAACAACTTAAAACATTAATGTATAAGGGATGTAAAGGAAGTAGTTTTGCTTCCAGTACTCTTAGATTTAAAATCTCATGTATTCAAATGACTTTGACTGCTACCAGCCTTTAAAATCTACACAGACTTTTAATGTAGCCTGACAATACTTGCAGTGACATCAAGTCCTCATTAAGCTAGCACACAAAAGTGTTATTGCCTATAAAATTAAGTTTCTATTTTAAGACAATGCATCTGGTATTAATATGCTGTATTTTTAAGGGGTAAATGAATAATTACTATAAAAACAGATATCTTAAAATTAAATATTTAGTTATTCCCGTTAGTATCTTTAAGATTTTCATATCATCACTGCTTCAGGAAATAATGGCATTCACATAAAACTGTGAAAAGTGTCACATTCAAATTGAAAGCTATTTTTAAAATATTCAGTCTGAACATAAATACCATATAATTACACTTAATCTTTTTTCTGATTTCTCACAGAATGCCCAAAGGATAAGCAGTTCTCAAGCTGCTCAGCCTCTCGCCACCCCTGTAGTGTCTGTGACAACTCCGAGCTTGCCTCCACAGGGACTAGTGTACTCAGCAATGCCGACAGCCTATAACACTGGTGAGCCATCGCTGGGCTTTTTTTCTGGACTCTGTTTTTAGCATTTTCTAAATAAGATGTACTTTTTAAATTTTTTAGCATGTTTATTGAGAATATTATCTCTGGTTTTTTTTAATTTAAATATATATTTTAAAAATACTAAACCTTTAAAAAGTTACATAAAATGAATTGATAATAGATATAAGCTATTGCTCCAATGTGTCTTTTTTAGTGCTTTTGACTTTGTCTTATTTCGGTTTGGGTTTTTTGTTGTTGTTTTTTATTTAAGACAGGATTGTGGTGGTGGTGGTGGTGGTGGTGGTGGTGGTGGTGGTGGTGTGTGTATGTGTGTGTGTAACAGTTCTAGACCTGACTGGTCTCATTCACAGAGATTCACCTGCCTCTGTCTCAAAAGTGTTAGGCCAATGCCTGGCCTTTTACTGCTTCTTGACAAAGAACCAAGTAGCTATTGTCAAGTGTGGCCTGCATTCAGCTAAGGATGGTAGGAGCCAATTGCTTAGCTGCTTTTATGTAGTCTCTTATTATACAGTATCTTGCCCTTCCACACTTTTGAAATCAGATTGTTTGTCTCCATGTTGTAAACCTGCTTTGGGAAAGGACAGAGCTCCCTTAGGGGTGTGGCTGATGCTTTGCTGTGCCAGGCAAGATGTTTTCCTCTTGTAGCTACTGGTCTGGTCTGTTTTTGTACTTGCAGATGAAAATGATCACCTTCTTGACTTCTCCCAGCTTCTGCTGCTGAGAATAGGTTTTCATTCGTTAGTTTTTTAGACTTCATCTTAAACTACTCTTAAGATTGTTAAGGGCTGTTAAGAAAGTTTGAGTGTTACAGTGGTGGGGGAGGGGCACTGCTAGCCAAATGGACCATATGGAGAACTGGTGTGCAGTTGGTTCCCTGCTGGTTTACCATTCTAAGGCAGGCAGGAAGCACATGTGGTTTCACTTTCTCCCTAGCTGAGCCAAATACCTGTGGCTCTGGGAAAGCTATAAATTACACCTTGTTGGTCGTCCAGAGACTGCACTGCAAGGAAGTCACTCTTTTATGATGCTCATAAGTGGACTGTGGTGGAGATCTCCTAATTTTAGACTACAGGGTAAGTGATTTGGCACCAGCACTAAAACTGGAGGGACAGGCAGTCTATACATTTGATTGGCACTTTAATTCCAAGTGCTAGTCCTTTTCAAACAGCAACAACTTGCCATGGGCTTGTTGACAAAGGAAGGCTTAGGGATGCCCTTTACCTTCCCAGCCACCAGTACGGAAAAGACCCTGCCCCAGTCCCTGAGATGTATAGTAGCCTGTGAATTGTAGCCCATTGTTTGCGTGTTACACAGAACTAATTCCAGAAAAGGCCAGAGCGTAAGCATTTATAGAAATTCTATTACAGACCATCAGTCACTTGGTGTAATAAGAGATTCTGAGTTAAGGACATAACTTTTTTCCAGATGAGGCGACAGGTACAGCTTAGCTGGTAAGCATGTGTAGGAAGTCCTACACTGTTGGATTTTCCAGTTACACTCTTGAATTGAGAAGGTAGGGAGGAAGGAAGCTTGAGAGGTCAGATGCTCAGATGAGTGAAACTGAGAAGACCAAGTTTGGACTGGGTGTCAGACTTAAGATTGCAGTCTACTGAGTGTCTCATTGCAGGTGTTCCAGTGTCCTTGAAATTCTACTGCAGTACTCATCTTTATAAATGCTATTTGTTTCTAAAGAATGTGTATGCCTATAAGCATTTTAAAATACTGAATACATACATTTTTACAAAGTCTCTAAGGAATTACTAAAGCACATGAGTGGAGTCAGCCTCCCTTAAAACCATCTGTCTCTTTCTAATCTTCAGTCCCATTTCATGTCAGGTCACTTTTACTCTGCGTCTTAGAATGTCTATTTTGTTTAATTTTGCCATGTTATTGTGTATATTATTTTCCTTTCTCTATGTACTTAGTGTCAAGCCTGCATCCCAGGCAATAAATAAATTAATTAATTAATGAGCCTCTTTTTAAAATAAAAATAAAGTAGTTTGAATTCCATAGACACTTCCTCATGCCCACCAGTAACATCACTTGCAGCGTCAAGATGTTGTTAATGTATTCTAAAGATATATATTGGACATTTATGATAGGTACCCAAGCAGCACTAGGAAAGACCTCTTCCTGTTGTGTCAGGTCCTGTCTATCAGCAAGGACACAGGCAGGAGTCTACTAGGGAGGGTGGATGTCACAGGCAGGGCAGTTAGAGCTGAGCTGGAGAAGGGGATTTGTTGGGTCTGTTACGGATTGCTCATGTTGTCTTGGGAGCATTGGGAAGCAGAAGAAAGTTTATCAGGAGTGTCACAGTCATATTTGTTGTTTTCAAAAATGTCATTTTGGCTCCAGTGGTTGTAGGAGATAGTTCTGTGGTAAAGACTTGGTGCTAAACTTGCAGAGGCCCCAATTTGGACCCCAGCACCCATGCCAAGTGGGTCCCAACTTGCCTGTAACTCCAGCTCCAGGCGAGTCCAGCACCCTCTTTTGGCTTGTGTGGGAACTTTCACTCATGAGCACAGACACATACACATAATTAAAATAACAAAAAACAAAATCTTTTGTTTTTTAACTGAATGCCAATAAGTCATAGAGAGATAGTTTAGTGGTTCAAGTAATAGTTTTCTTTATAGAGCCTGCACTAGAGTAGTGTGCGCCCACAGGAACCCTGACCAGCTGGAGTCTGCACTAGAGTAGTGTGAGCACACAGGAACCCTGACCAGCTGGAGAGATGGCAGGTAGGATTGACCAGGCTGAGTTGTTGATGGTGGTGGAGTCAGAGAGCAGCAGGGAAGGAACCTTAATACTCGATTAACGCCACTGTATGAGCCATTGGTGTGTTGGTGCAAATTACCACAAAAGGAAGAGCAGCTTTCAGGAGAACATGAACCTGGTGTAGGTTGTGCCAGAATTAAGGTGTCTGTAGAGATAGCCAAGTGGGACATGTCAAATGGTGTCTGGACAGGCCAAAAAGTCAAAAGAGAGTTGTGAACTAGAAGTGTCCCTAGGGCAAGCATCCAGCCTCTTTGGGGATGGCTGAGACTTTCTGGGCATGTCAAGTATGAAAGGATAGCCACCTAGAAACCTTAGTGCCAACTACAGTGTCTCAATTCAGTCTTTCTTTTTTCCTTAATTCAGCATGAAAACCAAATGCTTTAAACACCTTTCTTGAGACATGAGAAGAAAGTTAAAAGTAGAAGTCTTTGCCACCTTTTCTCTGAACTAAATGGAAAACCCAAGTGTTAATGATGAGCTGATGTGACTTAATTTAAGCAGGATTTAATGTCCTAAGCCTTGGTCGCAGTAATTTATGACTGAAGCATTTGTAGAAAAGGACTTGTGTGTCATAGAAAGATATTCATGAACTTGAGGTGATTTGTGCAGTAAGGGAGCCATTAAAACAAATGTAGAGCATAGTGTCATGGTATAAGTTCAATGTCTTTGTTCTAAGCCTGGCACATAAGAAAGCTTGTCTCTGCTGTCTTACTTAGAATCAAGATGTATTGATCCAGGTTCAGTCCAGTGCGTCTCTTGGTCCCAGAGGGAAGGCATATTATCTAGAATAATAACTGGAGAGGAACACTTCAGCATGACTGGCTTGTAGTAATAGGAACCTTCTTTTGTAGATTACTCACTGACCAGCGCTGACCTGTCGGCTCTGCAAGGCTTCACCTCCCCTGGAATGCTGTCTCTGGGGCAGGCTTCAGCCTGGCAGCAGCACCATCTTGGGCAAGCAGCCCTCAGCTCTCTAGTGTAAGTAACTGGAAATTTCCCTGGGCTGTGCACATGGCCTGCATACTCTATTGTCAGCTGGAGTCTTTTGCTTTGCAGGCTCTCATGAGCAACTCTGCCATGATTCCCGTTTATGTAGACACAGTGTTAGGGGCCAGTATTTTCTTAACGCAGCTGTAGACAGTAGCATGGTTGCTAAGCAAACCCAGCTTTCCTTAAGGGACTGGGAGAGCAGAACTTTTCCTTTTAACATGGTATCAAGGGATTCCCAAGGCCTAGATGCTCCCTGTGTGTGCCCCTTCTTTCTCACTGGCAGATGAATAAGCCATTGCTTCCCAGCATCACCTGAATCTGCTCCCTCAAGAAAGGCAGCTGAAAACACTCAAGCTCATCTGCCTCCCTTTCCTCTTTCTGCTTTGGAGAAGAGGGCTCAAGCCTGTGCCTTTATTTTCTCCTTAAATCTTAGTAGAGGAAAAAAAGGATCAAATTTCCTGTGCTTAGGACTCGTTTGATTGTTTCTAGCCCAGAACACAAACTGTTCCTTACGGGCATGGTGTGAGGCAAAGAGGATTTACAGTGGTGCGCAGGAGAAACCAGGCTCCCTGAGCTTTAGAAGGAACCAGTCTAGGAGAGCATCCAGAAGAGGGACAGCATTGCACCAGCTGTCTGCTTTGAACCTGATCAGGACTGGGACACCTTAGCCTCTTGCCCACCTTGCTGAGAACCAGCACTTGGATAGTGAAAGAATCCCACATGTAGATTCCAATCAGCAGTGCTCTGGAGAATTATGTTATGGGTGAAAGCGCCAAGTACCTTAGGGAAATGTTTTGCTTATATAGCCATTGAAGCCTTAGGGTTGTTCTGAATGGAAGTGTTAAAAATGGTGGATTTGAAAGCTGGGCATTGGTGCTGCCTAATACCCAGCTGCTCAGGAGGTTGAGGCTCAGGAATTGAGGACCAACCCTGGGCAACATTGGGAGATGTAGTGACAATAAATAAATAAATAAATAAATAAATAAATAAATAAATAAGCCCCAAGAAATAAGTTGTAATGGCTTAAAGCTTAGACATAGAAGGTAAGTCTCGTCTCCCATACTACTAACCCAAGCAGGTTCCTGGCCTTTCTGAAGCTATTTGCTTTGTGGAAAATGAGGATGATTCAGTTTACATCTCTTAGCTGTTGTGAAGAGATGACATATGCCTGTCATGGGGGCCCCCGTAGAGAAGATACTAAGGGACGGGAGGCAGCGAACAGAATCAAGGTCTGTATTGTTCTCTTTTTAGACAGCATCAGACACTGAAACTCCCCAAGTATGGGATCTCAGACCTTCAACCTTCCCAGACAGGCAGGGTCTGCTGAGCTGTGTTGTGTTATACATATATACTACCAAACCAGCTTACCTCTTTTGTTTTTTCTACAGGGCTGGAGGGCAGTTATCTCAGGGTTCGAATTTGTCCATTAACACCAACCAGAACATCAACATTAAGTCAGAGCCAATTTCACCTCCCCGGGATCGAATGACCCCATCAGGCTTCCAGCAGCAGCAACAACAGCAGCAACAACAGCCACCACCTCCACAACCTCCACAGCCCCAACCCAGGCAGGAAATGGGGCGCTCCCCTGTGGACAGTCTGAGCAGCTCTAGCAGCTCCTATGACGGCAGTGACCGGGAGGACCCACGGGGTGACTTCCATTCTCCCATTGTGCTTGGCCGACCCCCTAATACTGAGGACAGAGAAAGCCCTTCTGTAAAACGCATGAGGATGGACACATGGGTGACCTAAGGCTTCCTGGTTCATGGTTGTTCTTTGTGTTACTGCAGTGAGCTGCCCTACATATCTTAAATTGGTGAATAAGGACATGAGTTCAATATATTTATATGTACATACATACATATATATCCCTTTACATATATATGTATGTGGTGTGAGTGTGTGTATGTGTGGGTGTGTGTTGCATACACAGAATCAGGCACTTACTGCAAACTCCTTGTAGGTCTGCAGATGTGTGTCCACATGGCAGACAAAGCACCCTGTAGGCACAGACCAGTCTGGCACTTCCTTGGACTACTTGTTTCGTAAGATAAACAGTTTTTGCAGAGAAACGTGTACCCATATATAATTCTTCCACATTAGCCTGCAGAAACCTAGGGGGCCCCCTATTTGTTTTATTTAATTGTGCGGTGACTGTAGTTACTTCAGAAAAAAAAATGCTTTGTAGAACAGAGCAGTAGAAAAGCAGGAACCAAGAAAGCAATACTGTACATAAAATGTCATTTATATTAGTAACCCAACCTGGCATGGGTCTATTGCAAAGGGGTGCATGGGAAAGGGCTGTTGATAGTAAGCAAACAAACAAATAAAATAAAAGCCCCACACATAACTGTTTTGCACGTGCAAAAAAAATGTATTGGGTCAGAGAAGTGATCTTTAGCTAATAAAAAGGGAGAATAGAACATACGCATGAAATACTCAGAAATACTAGCCTAGAAATATAGAGCATTAACAAAATAAAATTAATATATTAAGTTATAATTGGAATATGTCAGAAGTTTCTTTTACATTCATATCTTTAAAAATTAAAGAAACTGATTTTAGGTCATGTATATTTTATATGAAAGAAAACACCCTTAATGAATTGATGACTATATATAAAATTATATCCACTACTTTTGAACACATTCTGCTGAATTATTTATATAAGCCAAAGCTGTATGTTGTAACTTTTTTTTTTTAGAGAATAGCTTTATCTTGTTTTAACTTTTTAGTTTTATTTTAAGAGGGGAGAAAAAAACAAAAATATCTTGCAAGCAGAACCTTGGAAAAAAAAAGCCATGAACACTTATTATTCTATATGTAAATTAAAAGTTGAGCCAAACTCTTTGTGTATATAGCATCTTAAATATATTATCACCTTTGATGTAAGTACCTATGTATTGTATGGTCACCAGATTATAAAGTATATTTTTGTGGATTGCCGCCAATTTGGGGGGAAAGGCGAAGTCCTTAAGTAGAGTATTCACTGTTTAATATTTACTATTTTGTTAAATATACTGTACTTTGGATTTTAATTATTAGCCCAGTTTTTCAAAGGATTGTGTAAAGGGGTTTCCCCTCACTGGTGGTGAATGTGTGATGTTCTGTTGTAATCTTTGTGCTGTATGGGGTGAGCATCATTATATATTTTATATGTGTACATAAATAGCAAAGTGGCAAAAAATTGGTGTTAAGTTCATCCTGCATAAATATAAAATGTGTTGTAACAGATTTTATAAGGCATTATTTAAAACTTGCCTTTTGTGAGAGAAAAAAAAGAGTAGAAAGATGACCTAATTTAACTAATACTAGAGAAGATGGCAGAATAGTAGAAGAGCACAAAGGTTTTATAAGTGGTAAATAATTAGGGAAATATTTGTGGGGAAAGGGATCTTTTTCTCCTTGACTCTGAAAATAGAATGAAGCAGCTGGTTACAAAATCCACGAGGGTTTTTAGCTGTCCCGTGGAAAGGCAAGGGCGTGTAGGGAGCAGCTCTCTAACGATGCCGTTCCGTGACACGGTTCCTGCTATCCTGACGGAAACTGGTGCCACCCTCAGCTTGGATTTTGAACAAGGCCTTACTTACAGGGAGACAACTCGTTGGCGATAGCAAGTTGATCCGTTTACTGGGCTTGTGCCATGAACAAAATTCAAAGTCCTGTATATCTTTTCTCCTAGATTTTTAAATACTCCTTTTCCTGAAAAACTTTAAAAGGGTTTTAAATGGCTGCTATTTTATATTGAACAATGTCAAGCAGCTGCCTGCAGTTTTTACTTGCATTTTGCTTTTCCCCCTAAATTTTGTTCCTTTCAGCGTTTCCTCATCTGCCGTTGTGACAGCTCACCAGCCAGGCTTCCAGACTAGCACACAGGGACTAGGTACACGCACCGCGGTGAGCTCGGGCCGCACAGAAGAGAGTGCTTCACTGACAGTGTGGTGGCTCGTGGTAGAAGCCAAAAAAGTGAGGATGCTGTCCTGTTGCCTCTGTAGTCTCAGCATTTGGCTCTTAGCAGAGAAGATGAGATTTTCTTCTTGAAATGTACTGAATCGACTTACAGGCACATTCTTCTTAAGGTCATACCTAATTAAAACAAGACAGTCTCCCAACACTGAATTTCCAAGATAACACTTACCACTTTGTAAACCATTTATAGCTTTGAAAGTGTTAAGTGGCCCTTTCGTTATTATTTATGCATGTTCATGAACTTCTGCTGTATATTGGAATAGGAGTTAACACAGTCACATTTACTGTCTATTTTCTTGTGTGCCTTATGAGATGGCTTTTCTGACTGTATCTCAATAGTCTTTCTTTCTATGCAGGTTTATAATCAGTACAACTACTGTTTTCTAAAGTGATACTACACAAGGCTCGGAGTTTGTATTTAAATTACACTGACCAAGTCACAATGTATTCCGTTTTCAGGAACTGAATATCTGACTGTTAATCTTTCCCCACGTGCCCAATGTGGTTTGGAGCATGTGGGCTTGACATCCTTCACCCAGACACTCATGTGTGAACACATCCACATCCACAGCTCTCAGTGGAAGCCAACCTAGAGTGGGGAGGACACTGACCTGACGGGGTTGCTTTAAAACTGACTTTCTTACCCTTTGAGACTCATGTGTTTTGTATGAGACACCATCACAGGAGAATTTTATCCCTTCAGATAACATATTTTATTATTAAAAACAAAAACAAAAAAAGCTTAACTTGCACTGGATACAGGAAGTCCCCACCAGCTGTACTTCCTCAGAACTCTAAGTGGTTCCACACTGAGAGTGAACGTCACCATTGTGTGAACACAGGTGGTTCCAGTCGAAACTCCATCCTTTGAGCCCTAATTACATCCATTGTGTTATAAAACTAAATCAGGGGTTTGTTCTAAGAGAACAATACATGTTTCACCATTTCCTTTCAACTTGTAAAGACGACTAATAATGTTTGAACATAATTTCTGTATTAACCATCATGCGCACAAGAAATACATAGTAAATACGGAGCCTGAAAACTCCTGGCATTGGATCATAAAAAGCTAGATGATTAGAATGTGAAAAAGACTTTACAAATGTAACCCTTTTATTTCTCTGTAGAAACTTTCTTCACTTTGCTGTGCAAGAGGACACTGCTTTGCTATATTTAAAATGGCTTTTTTAAAAGAGAATTTATGTATTTGGTAAATGTTTGTAGTCAACAGTTCACAAAAGAAGCTGTACACGGTTTGATCATGTAAAACCGTTTGGCGGCACAAGCTGGACTTTGTTGCCATCCTTGAGATGAACCTTTTAAGAAAAATAAGTTAATCTCAATTTTTCCCTGAATGTGTTGTTTTTTCTTCATTATACAATAAATATTATAGTGAAGTTTTTATCAAATGGTAAGACAATGCTAAAGGTCGTTGTAAGCTGTTTGTCTCCTGCGCTCACTCCAGTAAAGATGGCCTGGCTTTGACCACACACCCAGACTCTGTCCTGTTTGCCTCAGGGAACAGTAAGTGCTGCGCTGGCCACCAGGCATCCCTGCTCCCCAGCCTCACAGTGTGGCATCTAGACAGCCCTGGAGTCTGTTGGAAGCAGCCGGCCATCTGTTGCCAGTATCAGCCTGGCTATGTTGCAGCTCAGTTCAATCCATTTGTTTTGCTCACAGAAAGTACCCTGAAGTGTTAGGGGTGGGCGCTAGCACTCACTGTCCTATCCCACTTACCTAAAGTTTTTATGGTGTGAGGTTCATTTCTTTCCAGATTGCACACACAGCACTAAGGTCGGGGCAGCAAGAGGATAGCTGTCTGTTACAGCATACCGATAGGCCCTTCCCGCTAGTCACTTTTCTGATCATAACTGAAGCAGGAAGCCAAAGAAGCTCCAAATAGTTGTTCAAACCCACAGTAAAAAAAAATATCCTCTTCCTCTCCTTTGCCTTGTGAGCCAGTTCCTAGCTAAGCGCATTCTTGGTGTCAAATTAAGTTAATTTTTTTTGCACTGGTTTTGCTTGCTGGCTATAATGGGGCTCTTATTAGCAGGTTTTGAAAGCTGCTCGAGTCCTGTGGCTAAAAATATTCTAATCGCAGCTGCAGCTACTTAATATCAATTCACTTGAAGTTTCTAGTCAGCTCCCATGGGTGGCTTGGTCTAGCCTTTATCTTGGTTTTAAGCTGATTTTATGTCTGAGTGGCACCAGCCGAGAAAGTGATTTTCAGAGCCCAGTGCCAGCTGGAGGGCTGCAGCCCCACCCCACCCAGCCACCTGCCCAGCAAAGCGCCACCCAGTGGTGAATATTCTAATGGTGCTACGTCTAGGCTAGAATAACCCAAAGTGATTTGTCCTAGTTGGTCTAGAGTTGATGTTGTTAGTGTGCCTCACTGCAGGTGGCTGTCCTTCACCGGGGTGAAGGTTCTGGAGTTGATGGTGGCTGTCCTTTCCTGGGGTCACTAAATTGCTGTCTTCCTTTTGCAACTGGTAAGTATCTTCAGGTAATTTGAATACTAGGTTTCTCCAACTTTCACCCACTTTACATCTTGGCCTCAGCAGCTGTTGGTACAGCTGTTGCCTGTTTTCTATATTCATCAATGGAGATTAAAACTCAGGTGCAGCTGCCCCGCCCACTCGGTCGCATCTTTAGGGATTGACAGCGGTGTCTTTTAGTCTGGGTTGTAATCCCATTTTGTTCCACAAGCTCTTCTAGTTTGGGCTTTTAGGAGCACCATCAGGTCAGCACTTCTCCAGCACTTTCTGTCCAGGCTTGCTTCTCGGACCACAAGATATTCCATACTTGTGTTTTCCCTCTCCTTGCCCTGGACCAGGTGCTTCCTCAAGGATTGATTTGTTTTATCAGAGAGTGGCATTCTGAAACCAAGACCTAGACAGTCGATGTTCTCATTGATACTGGGGTGTTAGCAATGTTGGGCTCTGCACAGTGGAAGCTGTAGGGATGCTCACTCTCTCATAGACATGCCTAAGGCTGCTGAGTCCACTTGGCTACATCCTTGTATTCGTATTGTCTCTTTTCAGCTGTAGCTTGCTTGCTTCACTTCTGGGAAGAGCCCCAGCTGCTCTTACCTATGGTCTTCCGGCATACTCTATTCTAGTACATACAGAAACTAGTTGCAGATTTCCCATCCCATCCCTTCCTGGGGAATGCACATTCGCTGGCTATATTAGAGCATGTGAGCAATTGAGGTTGGGGTTCTTTGCCCTAGCTTTACATTATCCAGTCGAGATCATGCCCAGCAGTTGCTTTGTTCCTGCCCCCCTTGTGTAGGCTTTTTTGTTGCAGAGTTGGGCTCACCTGTAGGTGTTTTGGTTTATTTTGTGTGCCCTTCTTCCCTCATAGTTAGCTTCATTTATGGATTCGTGATTTGGATTTGCGAATGGCATCCTAACCTTTTGGAGGTCAGCGTTGGGGATTGTACCCAGACCTTGTACATACTAGGCAAATATTCTTCCATTGTTCCTTCTCTACGAGCTGCACAGAAAGATCTCGGAGAAATGTCGTTCTGGTACCCTGTTCCTGATTCATATCTCCCACTTAGCCAGCATTGAGAGCCAATCTGATTCATATCTCCCACTTAGCCAGCATTGAGAGCCAATCTTTAGTTTCCAGCCTGCTTTTCTTTTGTACAAGTATACAAGTCCTTTGATCTATCTGAAGGTCATGCCATCGGAGTGGTCAGTTCATAGAAACCAACATCACTGTTCTTAAAGCATTTTGGCATCTGGTATGTGGATTGCCTTAAGTTCACAGCTTGCACCTATAGAAGTTTACAGATGTGTGGTATTTAGAAATGAGTCTCAGGCTTGGCAGTGGTGGCACACACCTTTAATCCCATCTCTCGGGAGGCAGAGTCTATGCGAGTCTGAGGCCAACCTGGTCTACAGACCAAGTTCCAGGACATCTAGGACTATTACACAGAGAAACCCTGTTTCGAAATGCCAAAAAAAAAAAAAAAAAGATTCTCAAGCCAGGCAGGGGAGAAACACACCTTTAATCCCAGCACTTGGGAGGCAGACACAGATGGATCTCTCAGTTCAAGGCCAGCCTGGTCTACAGAGCAAGATCCAGGACAGTGGCACAGAGAAGTTTCACAGGGAAGCCCTGACCCCCACCCCAACACACACACTCAAAAGAAATCCTCAAAAAGAAGCAATGTGATTCTAAGTACCCCAGAGTAGAGCATAGAAGTGTGTAATAGAAGACAGCAAAATACAGCATCCAGTAATACATTGCCACATCTAGACTCTTACCAAAAATTCCCAGGCATCAGGGAAAACACTGAAATCTGTAACTAGGGGTGGGGAGATCGTCTGATGGGTTCAGAGTGGCACGAGAGATACACTTAGCAGATGGGGGCTAACGCAGTTCTTAGCAACAAGAAGATGCTGGGAGCATGAGCTCAGTGATGAGGAAACGGGAAGGTATAAAAAGTTCTAGGAATTGAAAACACCTGAGATAAAAGATGCATTTAATGAGATGATGTCCTATTAGATATCACAAGAAGAAAAAGTAATCAAAACCACACAAACAGGAAGGCTGAATGAAAAAAATGAATGTAATCTTGATGAGACTTACAGCCTCAGACCACTCTCTACAGGTAGAGAAGAATAATCAGGAAAATTTAAGGATGACTGCAATTTTCCAGATCAGATGAGACTGTATGAACTTACAGATGTAAGAACAAAAGCATTAGGAATAACGAACATAGTAAGTAAGGAAACTCCATTTAATGGGGGTGGCCTCCTCATGCCATGAGTCACTTCTGATTTCCCTGAAATAGTGCCAAGTCCTTAAATGTAGAACCCAGGTTGTTGCATGTCTGGCTCGTTTTGAGACATTCCTACGACATTTCCTCAAAATTCTATTTATGCTCCCTACACACCAGGTCCCTGGCTACTCAGTTTCTGGTGGGAATAGTCCCCACGTTCCGCCTTCTAGTCCTTCAGTCACACTTAAAACGCAGCTGTCCACTGTGTCGCTGGTTCCCACTGCCCCATGAGTGTAGCTAAGCAAACGTCAGCTCAAGTCACCTAGAGCACCTACTATGACTCTCCCAGCTAACACATTACCCATCCCCTCTCCTAGTTTAGCAACATCTGGAGAGCAGGGGACAGGGGGCCTGTCTGGTTATCACATCCCCTCTTGGTGTTCTGAAAGGTTAATGAAGAACTCAAGCATATGGGTGGACGAATGGATGGGGTGGAAATAAAAAGGAACGTGTTTCCTATTCAGGGCAATGAACTATTATCTTAGAATAACCAAACACAGCCAGCGGTGAAGGGGTAGCCCTAAGGAGGCTAGGGCAGGCCCACTACTCTCCAGAGCAAATTATAGGCCCCGGTTGTCTCAAAATCAATTGAATTATTTAATTAAGTAGCCAAATGCTTTCTGAAGAGCTGGGGAAGTCTCCCCTGGACCACGTTAAGGCCTGAAGAGGTATTAAGAGGCACTACTATCAAATAACCCCAGAAACCAGAAAGTTATAAAGGGGCCATGGGGTTAGGGAGGGAAGATAATAGGGGATGGTTGATATAAAGTGAGGAATGAAATAATGGGGAGGGGACAATGACAACACTTTCACAAATGTTTTCTTGCCATTTGTATTTCTTTTGAGAAATCTCCGGTCAGTTTCATTTTTATTAGGTCCGTTTTTATTAGGATTTTTGTTTGTTTTTGATGTTTGATTTTTTTGTTTGCTTTTATCTCTTTGGTTCTTTGTATACTCTACACACTAGTTCTCCATCACCTCATGAAGATTTCCTCCCTTTTTGGACTTCCTTTTTAATTAATTGACTGTTTCCTCTGCCGTACAGAAACATTTTAGTTTTATGAGATCCTGTTTGTTGATCTTACTTCTCGAGTGACCAGAATCCGATCCAGAAAGAACTGTGACTAACGAAGTGTTGAAATGGACTCCCTAACTTTTTCCTTTAGCAGTTTGAGTTCGTGGTTTTATGCTGAGGTCCTTGATTCATTTGGCGTTGATTTTTGTGCAGGGTGAGAGCTACAGCCCTCGTTTAACTCTTCCACACGTACGCATCTAGTCTCTGCAGCACCATTTTTGAAAGATGGCATATTCTCTCTGATGTATGTTTTTTTATATCTTTGTCAAAACTCAGGTGGCTATAGTACATGTATTTTTATGTGGGTCCTTCATTCTATCCCATTGATCAGGTGGCTATAGTACATGTATTTTTATGTGGGTCCTTCATTCTATCCCATTGATCAGGTGGCTATAGTACATGTATTTTTATGTGGGTCCTTCCTTCTATCCCATTGATCAGTGCGTCTGTTTTCTACCAATACCGTGCTGGTTTTATTAAGATGAATCTGTTATATTATAGCTTGATAATATTTTTCAATAAGAGAAATTATGGGGGGGGGCTGGAGAGATGGCTCAGTGGTTAAGAGCATTGCCTGCTCTTCCAAAGGTTCTGAGTTCAATTCCCAGCAACTACATGGTGGCTCACAACCATCTGTATAGAGGTCTGGTGCCCTCTTCTGGCCTGCAGACATACATACAGACAGAATATTGTATACATAATAAATAAATAATTTAAAAAAAAAAGAAATTATATTAGCGCAAAAAAAAAAGAAAAAGAAAAAAGAGGCACTGCTGTGACCCATGGCACTGGTGGAGCAGTCTCTGGAACCTTATGCATCTTTGAACAGGGGTAGGAAGGGGCACAGGGCTGATACTGCCAGCACCATGCTGTGCCTTCCAGGGGCAGTGAGAGACCAGACTAGCCTCACCTGTCCTCAGCTGCGTGCAGTCACCTAGCCTTGCAGGCCTAGCCACACTTTCCCCACCCTGGGGCTCCTGCTTGGCCTGGTGACGCCAGCCAACCCTTCTCCCTGGGAATGAGTATGAAGAACCCCTCCTCCACCATGCTGAGCTCCAGGAGGAAAGCAGCCAAGGGGAGGCTCTTACCAACACAAGCCAGGCTGACTCTTTAGACAAGGGAGGGGTCTACATCCAATGAGGTTTACACCAGCGAATTGGAGGGGGCGGGAACTAGGCCAGGGGATGTGGCTAAAGTGATAGAGCACTTGCTTAGTGTGTGCGGGGGAAACCTTTCCTTTGATTTCTGGGCATTGGAAAGAAGTAAAATGAACAAAAAATTTAAAAACCTAAAAACAACAAAATAGGGTCCGGTGAGGAGCACACCTCAGTGGAAGAAGAGATGCTAGGGCCGGGGGGGGGGGGAGGCAATCCCCAGCACTCTCGCTCCCCACAAAGGGAAAATGGGGTGCATCAGTGGTAGCCACAGTTCTTGAATCCCCCCACTGGATGACTGACTCTTCCCAGCACTGACCAAATTGTCTGATTCTCTCCACCACTCTCTCCTAAAGCCTTGCCTTGAGAGGCCACAACTACTGGTGCTTTCGCGGACACGGGCTGCCCCAGGGTCTGGACACCATGCAGGTCAGCAGAGCGTCTGTCAGCCTCACCGAGAGCAGGCTGGTGGGTAGCAGGACATAAAGGTTATAGGACAGGAAGGGCACAGACACTGAAATTGCCAGCTGGGGCAGGTCCCTGAGCAGCCCTATTTGTCAGCTGTAGGCTCTTAGATTTCTATCTCTAACGTGGTGACCATCAAGACCAACTCACAAGGGGAGTGGAAAGGCGGGATTTCCTGTACAAAATGCTTGCCCTGAAGGCACTCAAAGAACAAGGAACTCCTGTGGGTTATACTTTAGTGTGTTTTGCTCTTGGCTACAGCCATCTTTCTTTCACTCGACTTCAAGCTTTCTCTACCGGGTAGGTACAGCCCTGGGGGCCTGTTCTAACTCACTGGACTGTCAAGTCTGTTGCCCCTCCACCTCTCTGTCCCCTGCTGTTCAGGTAGGCAGCGCACAACCCAGCCTGGAGCCTTAGCTCCCTAGGGTAAAGTCAGCACATCCAATACTAACAATTCCTTAGTGCTCAACAGGAAGAGATGCCCAACCAAAGAGATGGGCTATTTCTTCAAAACATTCACGTTAGCCGGGCAGTGGTGGCGCTCGCCTTTAATCCCAGCACTCGGGAGGCAGAGGCAGGCGGATCTCTGGGAGTTTGAGGCCAGCCTGGTCTACAAGAGCAAGTTCCAGGACAGGCTCCAAAGCTACAGAGAAACCCTGTCTCGAGAAACCAAACAAACAAACAAAAAACCATTCACTTTCTTGGAAACTGGAGTGACAGCTCTGTTGTTAAGAGGGCTTACTACTCTTGCATAGGACTCCAGGGTAGTTATTAGCACCACAACAGGCAGCTCACAGCTGCCTATAACTCCAGCTCCAGGGGGGTCCTACACTCTCCAGAGTTCCATGCACAACCCCACAGAGACGCAAATGCACGTAATTTTAAAAATCTTTTCAAAAGCACCCCAGTCACCAAAATGCAGCAGATTAGCAGGAAAGGAACTCGCTGGTATGCCTTCCACAGACCTAACTGAACTGTGAAGCATGTCATGGAGGTCAGAGTGCACTGGTTACAGCTCGGTCTGTCCTTCCCTGGCCACGTAGGCATGTGTGGAGCAAGAGCCCAGCAGGCGGCATGGGCCACTGCCATCTTCTCCAAGGCTTTTAACTGTTACTAATATCCACATATGAAAAGAGAGAGTCGTGTTTCCTTCACAGAAGAAATACTTTATTCTACTTGAGAAAAATACAGAAATCTAAGTCACAGCTGTAACTTGTGTAAAACTCAGTGACATATGGATACTATTGCACAGTACCTTGGTCCACCCACAGAAGGTGGCTGTGCCAAGCCCATCCCCCGCCCTTGGCAGGCGGGGTCACTGTGACAGTCATTCCATACCATCCAGCTCCAGGAGCACTGACACACTGCAGGTCCCTTGTCGTGTTCTACTTAGGAGCCCACACACGACTGTGCACAAGCAGTCACCATCAGTCCCTACTGAGACAGAATAAAACACATTCTTTGTCTGGCCAAACGGTTTTCCCGGGGGACTCTGAGCCCTGCCTGCTGAAGTTAACAGTGACAACATTGAAGAGGAACTTCACAGAAACAATGGTATGAGCATCCAGATAGAAATCACCAAACATAATGGACGTTTACTGTATCCAGATTCACAGGTTCAGTTTTGGCCTCAAAATATTAAATTCTGAAGATGCTTTAAACTTGCTATGTGTGCCCTGGGCAGATTGGTTTTCAGAACAACTGAACACCCAGCTCAAGAACTGTTCTGCTCCTCTGGTCAGATTTCCAGGCCTAGTGTCAAGTGGCCCGAGCATCCCCCAGCTCACCACTGGAGCTCCCTGCTTGCCTTCTGCGCTCGTTCCCTGATGCTGAGCCCCCAGCTACCTCGGGCCCTTTCTAAGGTCCAAGGCAAGCTGGCTTAGCCCTTTCTCCCACACCCCTTTCAGCACATGGATGGCTACTGACCCCAGGGAGTGACTGAGAAAACCTTGGGTGTCTTGCACCCTCCGGTGTCTAGTGTTCTCTTTTACAGCCTGAGTCACATTGTTGGGGTTTGGATGTCCCTCAAAGGCAAATATCTCAAAGGCTTGGTCTTCACCTTGGCATTGGGAAGGGGTGCAAACATTAAGAAATGGGGTCTAGTGGGAAGAAGTTAGGTCACTGCAGGCATGACCTTGAAGGTGACCCTGAGACCCAAGCTCCTCGCCTCTCCCTCTCTTCCTGGTATATGGACACTTTGTTCCACCACACTCTCCTCCATGGATGCCCTCCAATCAGGCCATGGATCGGAACCTCGACCCAAAAGAGCCCTTTCCTACCTAAGATCATTTTGAACAGTAGCGCAAAGCTGACTGACATCATGTCTGGCTTTAACACTGAGACACACAATCTGGAAGTTTAAGGACAGCACTGAGTCAAGGAGGCAACAGGGAGAACACTCTGCTCTGGGCACACATGGTGGGGTAGGGGTGGAGGCCACTGGTCTTGGCAACACTGGTCTGACAGTGGGTTGGCCCCCGAAGTGCATGTGTGGGGATCCTAATGGCAGATGTCGTCCCTTCAAACCACCTGTCGATAACAGCTGCTCCCAAGATGCAACTGGAAGAACCCAGGGAGCCATCACCACAGAGGTGCCTCTACTGTGAATCAGAGCGGTGGCCCTGTGTCTGGTTTAAGATATGCCCACGTGGGAGACCATAAAGCTCCAACAGGACGAGGGACCGAACTGCAGCTTAAATCAAAGGATGGCAGTTTGGACTTGGGGCAGTCTCACTTCCGAAGTGGCAGTGCCTCAACGGGGCCAAGTGAAGAGGCAAACACGCCAGGCTGTCACAGCTGTCATCCGTCACTCTGAAACTCAGTGACATAGGGCAAGGCACCTCGGTCTACCCAGGCACAGACCCACCCCCACCCTTAGCAGGCAGCAACACGGTGACAGTCATCTGACCCCACCCAACAGTGGGACCGCCATCACTGTAGATTCCTTGCAGTGTTCTACGCAGGGGCCCACACAGAGTGGCTGCATAGGATCTCACAGCCTGCCCCTACATGTCTTTAAGAAACAGCCACTGGTTTCATGTAACCGTCTCTCTTACTGGGACGATGACGTCTGGGCTCCTGCATCATTGTGTTAGGCCAGGCCCTTCCTCAAGTCCGTACAATCCAGATTGATATGGTAACTTCTTTAGCTGTCCACACATTCCAGCAAAGTGCAACATTCCCAGGAAGTAGCCAGTGACAGCTACCCACACAAGAGCCAACAGCCAAAGCATCGCCAATCTTAGAATAAACGAGCTTAGGCTCCTGCCTGGGTGGTTGAGCTGACCTGGTTGTCCGAAACGGGGAGGGTGGGCACTGGAATTGCCAGCCTGGGGGCTTGCCCTGGACCTGAGTTTAGTGTCAGAGAGCCATTGGGGACAACGGTTGCATTCAAGCCGCTTGCGGCTTCCCCGGTGGCTTGTATTTTAAAGTAGACGAGATAAAACACGGGCAACACGATCCCAATGAGAAGCATGAGGAAGACGGCATTCCACCACTGAATTCCGCAGTCGGCACCATCGGCTGCTGGCTTCTGGGCTGTGGGGAGGAGTGGCTGAGCCTCCACAGAGCAGCTATCGCTGTGGAAGACGTCAGAGTGCACGGCCCGCTCAATGTTCTCATCGATTCCCTTGAAGAAGTCCGTCAGCTGGCTACCCTGAGCAGCGGCCCCAGCGGCAGCATCTTCTTCTTCCGGCAGTTCGATCAGGGTCACTCTGGTCTCAGAGGACGGGGTCCGCAGGGGGGTTAGTTCTTGGTGGGTCTCTGTGAGGATCCCATGGTTTCTCACCGGAATCTTGATGGACTTCAAAGCATACAGGTCTTGTTCTCGGATGAAGTTGTTCACTTTCTTGATATCTGCAACCTAGGGAAACCACGCATTATAAATATACAATGCTCCTTACGACCAGTACCTGCCCCAGCAGAAACCCTCAGCCTGCTGTTGTCCCAGCGAAGCCCATGAAGGCTAGAAATTGCACCCACAGCCAGCTTTGCTTTAGCTGAGTCACCTGAGCTTAGATTTTTTTTTTCTTTTTTGGTCTTTGGTTTTTAACCTCTTAATGAGCTAGAAATCAACTGTTCTACTTTGAATCATTTCAGATAAATTTGGTTAAAGGTTGTGACTATAACCAAAGCTCCAGGGGAGACAGGACCAACACGGTCGCCCTCTCTGTCAAGTTCTGGGGCAACAGTGCCCCCGTCACACCAGAATCCAGCTGAGCGAGTGGCCAGACAAGCTCACCAAAGCCTGCGCGGGCCCTGGGCACACATTCAAGGGCTCCGCCACCTGATAGCTCCCTCGGGATGCTGCCTCAGCACTTTCCCCGAAGTGCAGGCGCAGGAACCTATTTCCTGAACACAAGTGACTGGAAGCTAATCCACCCTGGGGAGGTCCTACTTCTCACAAGAAGCAGGCGAGGAAACCAGCAATCAACCTAGGCGTTCCAGACTCAGAGTTTCCACTCCCAACTACAGTCCGTGGGATGTGACTGGGTTTTATTAAGTAGCACAAAGCTTCTAACAGAAAAGGAGGGACAGGAGGTCAAATTTTAAATTCCCCCCAAATTACTTTTGAAAAACTTATCTGGAAGGTAAGTACAACCCACAGAGTTTATTATTCTGGTCCATCGTGTGTGTGTGTGTGTGTGTGTGTGTGTGTGTGATTATTTTATTCAGCAACCACTTTTAGAGCCTCACTGACCTGGCTTGAGTGAGCTTCTTACTGTGCCCTGGAACTGGACGGTTTTCACTCTTGGGCACTAACCCAACAGCACGCGTCTATATTTTTAATAGGAGCTGGGCTTGTTAGTGGAGGTACGGACTATCCATTCTGGATTTGTTAGAGACCATCGCCCTGACAGACATACTCAGTTTATCTTTTTCAGCCCATGGTCTGTAGATTCTGCCCACAGACGCGGATTATAAGATCCAAACACAAGGCTGATGTAATGGAAGATGCTGTGTCCCTGGAGACGAGTTTCTACGACGTTGGGAAAGACTCCCACACCCGCACGACCCTTTTGCTCATTTGGATCTTGTTAGCGAAACAATAGACAATTTTTAGGAGGTAAGGCTTTTTCTTAAATTGGGTAGCGGATGCAGCCTTGGAGGAAGCTGCTGTCGGTATATATATAGCATGGGGTCAGCAGCGTGAAGCAGGTAGTTTTGACGCAGGAGAAAAGAGCGATTCCAGAAATGCTTTCCTACTTACTTTGCCACTGTTAATCACTCTGAATGCTAAAAACATAATTAAAAGAGAAAGAGAAGGTTATACAAGTGCACAGCACAGAGGCCAGACCATGCAATTCTAACACAGAGAAAAGAAAACTCTACCGGTCAATTAGCCAAGGTCAAGAGAAGGTCAGAAGAATACAAGAAATGAGAAGCAAGCTGCCGAAGACACTTAGGTAAGCTCCACCTACATGTCCAGCCCCTAAAATCTTCAATCCAGTGCGCTCAAAGGACCACACAGTTTCATAGTGTCGCTGAAAGTTAGGACAAATGAAAAACACACCCTTAGCTGAGGTTCCCGACTAACTGACCATCAGCTTCCTCAGGGACTGAGTCAGCTTACTTTGCAGCCATACTGGAGAGCCAGTTTGTTGAGGCTGTCCTCATGGGCCAGCTCCCGCTGCAGCAGAACCACGCTGCCTGCTCCGGGCTGCTGAGGATGTTGGATGCTGTTCTTCTGGCGCTCCTTGCCCCGAGGTCGTAACACCCCATGATGGGACTCTTCCTCGGAGGAGTCCCCGGAGTCCCCACTGCCATTCTTGAACATGTAAACGTGGCTGTTTGGAGTCCTACAGACAACAGCTGGGCCTTGGAAGGTCTTGGCTAACACTTCCGTCTGCCTCATTTTCTTAACTGAAAACCAAACCTGGGGTTAATTCCATAGAAACGCTATTCATTTGCATCTGACTTCCTAAAGAGAACTGGCTCATCAGTAATTTCCTAATATTACAAATATTCAGCAAGCATCAACAGGCAGAACAACACCACCCTCACATTAGCCCACTCCGGACTTAGACAGAATAAAACCACACTTTCCCTAATTGTGTATTATGTACAAAAAAAAAACAAGAGTCCCGGCCCTCTTCCCTGTTCACAACCGTGCCTCCCCAGCCCCCACACAGAACCCACGTGTGGCTCTGAGTACTATTCTCAGCTCCCGGACACTGAGAATCTTACATTAGTAATCTGTGAACAAAAACCTCGTGAGGCGTTCCAAGGTGTCTTCAGGAAGGCCAAGGACACGAGCTGGGAGCAACCATGGGTCGCCAAGTCTCTTATTTTGACCCTGGCTGACTTGACCTGAGAGGAGAGCAATGGAAAGACGCCTGTCAAAGTTCTCACGGTCACCCAGCATTCATCACACCCCCATCCTCCCTTTACTGTCACCTAGAGCCAAACGCCAGAGCCATAACTAACCTCCTTTCCCCTTCCAAATGGCTCCAATGGGACTCTAGACATTCCTGGCGGTGCCTTCCGAGAGGCCCTTTTTGGGGGGGGAGAACAACCACCCTCAGCGCATCTCCCTCTGCTCTTGGATTTCTGAGCCCCTGACAGCCGGGGCGGCCAGAAGAGGCCTCCGTTTCCTTTCAGTGGCAGCTGGGGTGCCCCTAAATAGGAGATAAAACAAATTTGAGGCGGCCCCACCCCTGGGGCCTACGCGGGCCGGGCCCCAACTTTCCAGGGAGCGCACATCCTGCGGCCTCCACAAGCCGGCATCAGCCCTCCGCGGACGCGGCCACCGGCCCTGGAGTAGCAGCCCAGCCCCGAGCCCACGGTGACAACAGACCCCAAAAGCCCCGGCCCCCCAAGTCAACTCCGCAGCCCTTGCTCCAGATCGGGGTACCTCGCTCCCAGACTCCGCCGCCGCCGCGCCCGCCGATTGGCTGCGATAAGCAGCTCTTCCGGGGGCGGGGACTGAGAGTCAACCAATGACTTCAGAGGAGGGAGGGCACTGACGGAGAAGGAAGGTGCTGAGAGGTCAGAACTCTCTCGGCTCGAGGGGCGGGCCCCGATGGGCGGGGCTCCAGCGCGGCCGGGGGTGGGGTGGGGGAGCTGGACTTTGACCCTTCTGCCCGCTTGCCCCGGTCCTGCCCAGTTTCCACTTCTGAGGCAGGCGTGGAACTTGGCCTCTTTGGTAGTAGCCTTGGCTTTCTGCTCAGCCTCGCTCTTTTACCCGGCAAAAGAGACCTTTGATCCGCGTGTGTCCTGACCCATAGCCAGGACCGTCCCCACTACTGCAGCCCGACCCTGGGCCCTGGACTCTCTATCCTTTGAGGGGCCCCATAATTGCCAGCCCCCGCCCAGAGATAAAGAAATGTCCAGGGGTGTGAAATATCACCGTGACAACAAAGACCAGATTTAAAGAAGAAAGAATTCATATCCCCTGGCTAGCCAGAGAGCCCCTATTATCCAGAAAGGAAAGGAAAAGCGGGTGATAATCTGTGGCGATGTTTGCAACAAACACAACCAAAGACTAAAATCCGTAATGGAATAAGACTTATCCAATTAATAAGGAAGACACGAAGTGACCTGGGCCGGCAATGCACCAAAGACGGCTGGCTGGCAGCTGGCCAAGGTGTTAAACCTCGCTGGGAATCAACAAAAAAGCAGGAGCGCAGAAATCCTTCCTATGGCTTAGAATAAAACTAAAAGTCTTATTCCAAATGTCTAAGGCCAGGAGGGCACTGGGCCATGGCCCTCTCTGCCAGCCACGGGATTGTTCTCTCTGGCTTTAAACATCTGGTGTTTGAGGCTAGACTTGCTAATATGCCTAACAGTTCCTTCACACACACACTCGCGAGTGCCCCACTGAAGTATTTGTGGCTTGTGACAGCTTCCCCAGCCTGGATGAGGCTGCATGAGAAATATGAAGGGAACGACCCGCCCATCAAAGTGTGCCAGGGGCCCAGGGCAAGAACAGGTCCATTGCTCTGATCCCAGGACTGTGAAGTTGAATCCCGCAAGCAGAGGTATCCACTCAAATCTCCTCCAACCCTTGTCAAACATGTCATCCCCTCCCAGGTCTGCTCTTCTCCTGGGAAGGAGGATGCAAGGTAGCAGGGGCCAACTGTTTAGCTTTCGGGATATGGCTCCAAGCTCCAGGACTTCGCAGTGAACTGCAGTAGAATTTCTTAAGCTTTGTCTTTTTATTTTGTACAGAGAAGTTAAAGAGACACAGCAGCTAGTGGTAGTCACAAGCCATGCCGGGAGAGAAACAGAGACTAAAGCCAGTTGTACACTCACCAACTGTGACCGTGACCCTAAGCTTCCTGAGCCTTGGTCCCCTTCTTCTGCTGTGTTGTCCCTGATGCCTGGGATGGACCCCTCCCCCCGGTCTAACCTGGAACAACCGCAGAGGATGTCTTTAATGTAAAGCCACTCTCTCAGTGTCCGGACATGCCCTGCACTCCTATGCAAGGCAGTGTGTTCATGGTCTGTGTACACGGCACACACTCCCCACGAAGCCCAGCGGATATTGCTAGTTCTTCATGGCCCAGATGGCTGTCAGTAACCCAGTCAACCCTGACCGATCAGCATAGATGGTCAGGGTGGTAAGGATGATCCATCGTCTCAATTAGGTTGCTTCTGTGATGTGCTCTCTCGTGGCTCAGGGAAATCCAGTGGCTGCTGGAACACAGCCTCCCTTCCGTAAAGGGGAAGGGATGACGCGCTCGCTCTGCCATGTTATAAAAAGAAGCGTGGCTGTGAGAGGCAGAGGGGGCAGCACCACGATGCTGCCAATGTTCACGGCAGGGTATGAGCAGCGTGGAAGGAATGTGCTGCGTTTTCTTTTCTTTTTTCTTTTTGATTTTTCAAGACAGGGTTTCTCTGTAGCTTTGGAGCCTGTCCTGGAACACCCTTTGTAGACCAGCCTGGCCTCGAACTCACAGAGATCTGCCTGCCTCTGCCTCTCGAGTGCTGGGATTAAAGGCATTTGCCACCACCGCCTGGCATGTGCTGTGTTTTCTACATAAAATATCATTGCAAAATTAAGGAGAAGAGGAATTGCTCAGTGGGTAAAGCACTTGCTGCACAAAGTCCTGAGTCTGAATCCTCCAAAGCCCTTTTCTGGGTCTGCAATCCCCCTGTTGCGGTGGCAGGACGGGAGGGGTAGAGAAGAGAAATCCTGGAAGCTTTGGGGCCAGCTAGGCTGGAGTGCTCAGTGGTAAGCACCAGGAGATCCTATCTCAGACATGTTGGTATGCATACAGGCCTCTGAGATAGTTCTTCAGCTGCCATACATGTGCATGACGCACATGTGCCTATCCTCACACTTATGAACATGCTTGCACACGCGCGCGCACACACACACAGAGCAATTCAAAACCAAGAAAATTCAAATAAATTATCATGAATTGTATAGAAATGTTTGCCATCTTTGATATGTCCATATCTTTAATATATTAAAAAAAGCATTCACATCTAAGCAAGAAAAGACACTCCCTAGAAAAACTGCCAAATCATATAAATAACTCTTTAAGAGATATGGGCAAAAACAAGTCCTGTTACCCTTACAGCCAAATACATGTAAACTCAAATGGCTTCAAGATGTTCTTTATAGGTAACAGACGAGGGAAAAGCACAACACTGTTGTGTGTATTGTGCGGAATGGGAGAGTGACAAAGGGCTAAGTCTAAACGAGGACACTTGTAAGATCAGAAAGCAGTCACTTTCACAGGATGTCCTGCGAGACTCTGATTCTGAGCTCCCATGCTTAGGGATTGACCAGTGAAGTGGTTAGGACTGGTTAAAAGAATTCAGCTACCAGAATGCTTCTAATAGCGAGGAACAGGGAAGAGAATTATTTAGCCCTTTCACGGAGTGGGATCAAGATACTCATTTAATCTTGAAGCACAGTTATTGACATGGAAAGGCTATTGTGATTAGGAAGAATTGTCTTAACCAATCTCCCAAAAACCATACAAAGGGGAAAATCCCCACAGCACCACCCTAGAGACCCAGGGGTAGCAGACGCATGCGCAGGACAGTCTTCTTTAAGCGACTTAAGCCCGAGTTGTGTTCATTTGCCTTCTTCGCATTGCCTGCTAGAAGCGTCTGTCACAGTGGTTCAGATCACGTCTCTCCAGTCGAGGAGTCCTACTTTGAAAGCACCCTTGCCTGTGTCTACAGCAAGCGTCTTTACAATTGAGTTTCCTCACCCGGGCATTTGAATAACCCCTGCTGTGGGGAAGGTTAAACGTTGCAGCGTTCAGCAGGCTCTGCTCATACAGTAAACGGGGCATGCTGGTCACATATCCTCAAGAGGATGTAATTAGAAGCACGGAAATTCACTTTTCATTAAAGAAATTCGTAGCCAGGCTCGCCGTGAATTGAACTTCTGTGTCCCCGTCCAGTGCTGTTGAAACCCTGCCCTCCTGGATGCGCTTTTAGAAGACCGAGCCTTAGAGAGAGGAATGGGATCAGTGCTCCTGTGAAGGGGACGACATGGCCTCCTTGCCCAATTTCTACCACAAGAACACACAAGAGAAGGCAGCAGTCACAACCTAGATGAGACACCCCGCCCTACCCGGCACCCGAGAACCACACCGCTGCCACCACCCTGATTCAGGGTTTATTGCTCTTGGAACTGTGGGAAATGAGTCCGAGGCACTCTGTCAAAGCAGCTGAAACGGATGGCCACTGGGCCCAGCCTTACACAGGGACAGGTTTGTCAGGTGAAGCTTAATCCCCCTCATCTGTGAATTCTTTTATATTGCATTCAGTTGTCTCCAGAGCTGAGGATGGGAGGCTCCTGGAGACAGGAACCTGTTGGGCAGGGTGAGCTGTGCTAAGTAGATGTCATTTGGAGCCACTGCCCTTCAGACTCGAGGACCTTCCTTGGGGAACACGAATGGGATTGGTTTGGAGGTTTCCTGTGGGTCATCACAGGCTGCTTCTGGCCACTCGCCCTTGCCTCTTTCAAGTCAGGGCTGCTTGGAGGTCCTCACCTTAGGGCATAGCTCAGTTTCCTCAGAGTCTCACACACATTCCTTTTGTATGCTGTGGGTAAGCATTTAAAGGTTTGAGAGGAAAAAAAAAAGGTTTGAGAGGTGGGACTGGACACCCCCACTTTGTTCCTGTGAGGAGTAAGACCTCATCCCCCAAGGTCTCCCCTCACCCCATTTTTTTCAATCCTTCAACTTTCTCTGGTTAACCTTTGAACTGAGCTTTGGCATTTTGGAATTCTGTCCAGCATCCCCAGGCATTTGGAATTCATTCAGCATCCCCAGGACCCTGTCTCATCTCAGGTTCCTCAAGATGGGACATCTGCCATCCTCCCCTTCACTCCTGCTCAGATC